GGGCAGTAGCATGCACCCACTTCCTGAATCATACCTGGCCACATGCCTCCAACATTGGGAGGGTATCTTGTAAGGGGGGTGGAAACATCTCCTCTGCCCCTGCAAGACACCTTGTCCCCATGCTGAAGGGACAAGGCCCTTATCCTCAGACCCCCCCCCCCAATTAGGAATATGAGGATATGGGGGGGGGGCTTACTGGAATCTGTAAGCCCCCTTATAATAAAGGTACCCTCAGATATCTTTACCGTCCTAGGGAAATTAGTACAGGGTATATGAGCACTCCTTATTACTCATTCCACCCCCACAAAATTTAAAAAGTAAATAAAGTCACCCAACCTATAAAAAAAAAGTATATAATAATGTTACATAGTTAGTTTGGCTGAAAAAAGACAAAAGTCCATCCAGTTCAACCATTAAAAAAAAAAGAAAAAGAAAGTTATAATCCTATACCTACAGTTGATCCAGAGGAAGTAAAAAAAAAACCCCATCAAAGCGTGGACCAATTTGCTCCTGCAGGGAAAAAAACTCCTTCCTGATCCCCCGAGAGGCAATTGGATATCCCCTGGATCAACTTTACCTATAAATGTTATATCCAGTTATATTCTCTGTATCTTTTACAGCAATCCACAGAGCTGGCCAGAAACAACTCTTGAGGGAGCCTATTCCACATTTTCACAGTTCTCACTGTGAAGAAACATTTTCCTGTTTGGAGATTCAATTTCTGTTCCTTCCCTTGTCCTCCGTGATGACTTCAGGGTGAATAGCTCTACACCGAGTTCACTATATGAACCATTGATGTATTTATACATGTTGATCATATCCCCCTTTAATCTCCTCTTCTCAAGAGAGAATAAATTCAGTTCCTCTAATCTTTCCTCATAGCTGAGCTCCTCCATGCCTCTTATTAATTTGGTTGCCCTTCTCTGTACTTTCTCCAGTTCCCCAATTTTCTTTTTGTGAATTGGTGCCCAAAATTGAACTGCATATTCCAGATGAGGTCTTAGTAATGATTTGTTCGGGGTAATATGATATCTCTCTCTCTGGAGTCTATATCTCTTTTAATACAAGAGAGGATTTTACTTGTGTTAGAATGTCATTCAGCAATTTCGATACTTGTCAACCTCGATGAACCTCTACCACGACAACTTGCCACCCAACAATGTTGCCCCCTCCACTGTGATAACCCCACACTGTGAAGCTTCCCTGATGCTACTCCTGTTGCAAATGATGGATCTGTGGCTGGTTCCTGTTTGTAAACAAGCCACCCAGGGATCATGAGTAATATCCTGGACCAAATATGATCATGACCCTATTTGCTCAATAAGGTTTCCTTTGACCCCCAGCTGGTTTGATTACAAACAGAAGCCAGAGGTTCAGGCAAACAAACTGTCCAAATTTGGGACCACAAACAGTCTTGGTTTTGTTTGAACGTAACCCTGGACTCTTCCCTGGTACTGACTGACACTAGATTATTTTTATAATTTTACTCTGGAAAAGAAAAGATCTTATTTTTTTATTCTTTTATTAGCACTGCAAGAATCCAATGCACAGTATCAACTATCAAATATTTAAAAGTTGTACTTAGCATGCTGTTTATACAGACATACCGTAGGCATTACAGCCATTCTCATACATTATAATGTGACTTGTAGTCCTTCTGCTAGGTGGCAGCTTTATTTTAATACTTGTATAGTGTAATGTTCTTTCTAGAGAAACTACATTGTTATGATGTAATAATAATCTAATAAAACAAGAAAGGCTCAGCCATGTCTCCAGCATCATCTTAACTCTTGTAAGAGACATACACTCACCGGCCACTTTATTAGGTACACCTTGCTAATACCGGGTTGGACCTCCTTTTGCCTTCAGAACTGCCTGAGTTCTTCATGGAATAGATTCAACAAGGTGTTGGAAACATTCCTAAGAGATTTTGGTTGACATGAATTACTGTTGCCTTTCTATCATCTCAAACCAGTCTGTCCATTCTCCACTGACCTCTGACATCAACAAGGCATTTTCATCCACACAACTGCCACTCACTGGATATTTTCTCTTTTTCAGACCATTCTCTGTAAACCCTAGAGATGGTTGTGTGTAAAAATCCCAGTAGATCAGCAGTTTTTGAAATACTCAGACCAGCCCATCAGGCACCAACAACCATGTCATGTTCAAAGTAACTTATTATTACAGTTACTTATATAGAGCCATCAATTTATTCAGTGCTTTACATATATATTTAACATTCACATCAGTCCCTAACCGTCAAGGGGCGTACAATCTAAGGTCCCTAAATTACATTCATACATACACATACTAGGGCCATTTCACTTAAATCCCCTTTCTTCCTCATTCTGATGCTCGGTTTGAACTTCAGCAAGTCGTCTTCACCACATCTAGATGCCCAAATGCATTGAGTTGCTGCCCATGTGATTGGCTGATTTGCAATTTGTGTTACCAAGCAATTGAACAGGTGTACCTAAAAGTGGCCAGTGAGTGTATATCTGCAGTGCCTTTCCAACACCTGTTTATGTCTCTTTATATATCATAATAAATATTTTTCTCTAAATGTTCATAATGTTGTCAGTGGATCAGGGGCGGACTGACCATTTGGAAACTCGGGCACTGCCCGAGGGCCCGGGGTCAGTAGGGGGACCCATGAGATGCCCCTGGTACTTTTTCATAGGCTTTTTTGAGTTTGGGCAAGGACGCAGGGGCCCCATGATTCCCTATTGCCCGGGGGCCCCATGAGTTGTCTGTCCGCCCCTGCAGTGGATATTTTATCAGTCATGCCTGCTCAAAATTGCATAACCAAAAACAAATAATGTTTCCGCAAATCAATACATAAAGAATGTAGTCACGTTTGAAGTAGAATTCCAGGCTAACCCAACTAATTTTAAAATTTCTCCCTCCTCCCTCCTAACACCTATGCTGACTAACCTGTCTAAGAAAGATGTGTATACTTACCTATTTTCTGGCCACTCTGGTCCATTCACATAATCCTGATCCCCTCTGACAGCCAGCAGTGGCTGCAGGGGAGAGGAGGGATCTGCAACAATGGATGGGTCATGGGAGCCTATGTGTGATGTCACCACTCTCAAGTATTACCAGCAATTGTTTAGTCCTCTCCCCTGCAGCTGACGATAGCTGACACAGGGGATCACATGAACAGAACGGCCTGAAAATAGATAAGTATATGCAGGTTAGTCAGCATGGTGTCAGGAAGGGGGAGGGTACATTTTTAAGACTAGTTAGGTTTAGCCTACTTTAAGGTCAAACATTAGAAGGGGGAGGATTTGTGATATACCTAACTTTCACTATGGAATGATTGTGGTTGCAGGATCTTGAACATTGCAATCTCCCAATATTTTCATGCACTGTAATTTCTAGAGATAAATCGTTAGTAACAGAAGAGTAACTTTAGACATGAAATATGAACAAAGCATATCCCTCTATAGTGTGTACTTGTCTCAATCAATCCAGAGTACTAAGTGTCATTTCTGTCTGCTGCCTCATTCCTCTGCTACTGGCTTGAGTCACTTTGCCAAGTTTTCCTGACACAAAGAAAAAAATGGTGACAAGGGAGGGACCTCCAGCAGTTGACAGTCTCAGCTCTTTTCCTGAGTGCTGTGTGAAGGGGGGGGGGGGGTTGCCCTTCCCTCCAATCAGCTCTCAGAACTTTCCTCACTGATATAACTTCAGCTCCTTGCCCCCTGCGTTTCAGAGCTGTATAAATTCTGCATTTGAATGGATGTATGTGAAAGACAGCTGTAGATAAACTGGCACAACTTATGAAGGAAGATTTGTTTCATCTCTGTGTATCACCTGAGGCCAGTCTCTTCACTGGGTATATGGAAGGGTTTGCACCCACTTGAACAATTGATAAAAGTGTTACTAAACCTACAACGGTAAAATCAGTCTGTATATGCAGTAAAGTATGTTTGTTATACTCACTGTGGAACCTAAGGGGTTAATCCTCTGCATTGTGTAAAAAGGCTGGTTGATCTTTTCTTCTCTGTCCCTCCTCTTGTTCAAATGCCCACTCTGATAAGACAGACTGAACCGTGCACTTCTGCACATGCTCAGTTTAGTGTGATCAGCACAGGGCCAATCAGCACTGTCCAGACAGAGGTCAGGGGATTTTCATCCTCCTGGAGAAAACTCCTCCTACAAGCTTTAACCAGTGCTCAGCGGAAGTCACAAGACTGCTCTAACTGCTGATGAGAAAAGGTATTTAGCCATTTATAGTTACTATAATAATTGCACTTCCATGTTCTGTGCACTGTGGGAGACCAGATATAGTGAATGCAGGGTCCGGGGTTTAGTAACACTTTAAAGCAGGCCTTGAAATTTCCTCTCACCTGCTCGCCAATGGGAAGTGGAAATTATGGTGGGGGTGAGTGTGTCCCCCAGGACCGTCTTGCTGAGCAGGCTCGGAGCTCAGTCATTGGCACTGGGAGCCGTTAGACTGCTCAATAACTGAGCGCCGTGAAAGCAAAGGAAGGAGTGTGTGCTGTGCTCTCTTTCTACCTCCCCCTAGAGTGCAGTACCCGGCTCTGTGAGTGAACAATGAAGTACTGCAACTTCTTATAGGGCTGTGTGTGTGTGTGTTTGTGTGTGTCTGTGTATGCATGTACATGTGTGTATGTACATGTGTGTATCTGTACATGTGTCTGTGTGTATGTACATGTATGTGTGTGTGTACATGTGTCTGTGTGTGCATGTACATGTGTGTGTGTGTACGTACGTACATGTGTCTGTGTGTACATGTGTCTGTATGTACACGTGTCTGTGTATGTATGTACATGTGTCTGTACATGTGTCTGTGCGTGTGTATTTCTGTGTATGTACATGTATCTGTGTGTATGCGTGTCTGTACGTGCCTGTGTGTGTATACATGTGTCTGTATGTGTGTGTGTGTACATGTGTCTCTGTGCGTGTGTGTACATGTGTGTGTGTGTGTGTATGTGTGTGTGTGTATGTACATGTCTGTGTGTGTGTACAGGTGTCTCCAGGGGTGGACTGACAACTCATGGGGCCCCCAGGCAATAGGGGATAATGGGGCCCCTGTGGCCATGCCCAAACTTAAAAAAGCCTATGAAAAAAGGTACCAGGGGCATCTCATGGGACCCCCTACTGACCCCGGGCCCTCGGGCAGTGCCTGAGTTTCCAAATGGTCAGTCTGCCCCTGGGTGTCTCTGTTTGTGTGTGTTTGTTGGTGGCGAGTAACTCTTAAGGCCTGGTTAGTAGCTCAGGACTTGAAGTTTTAAACCCTGCTTTAAAGTATATGTAAACTCTCACCTTGAAAAACAACTCATTCGCATTAAAATAGAAATGAAAGGCAAAACATTTGTGTATACATATAAAAAACATTAATAATAACTCCCCCCCCCCCCTTTTTTGATCACATACACTCTGTTTTCAACTGCATGAGGAGCTCAGAGAGGTGGGGGAGGAGAAACAGCAGCATAATGGTCTTCCCAGTGAATGGCTGTATGGCGGAAGGCATGTCTGATAAATGGAGGAGAGCAGGCTGAGTTCCCAGGAGTGCTAGATAACTGAACACTGCTGTGCTCTCATGCCGAGTGTGGTCAGTTTTTAATAGGAAAGCAGAGGTACTGGAAGGAACACCAGGATACTTTTTCAGATAAGTACATGGTACAACAGACACATAACAGGAATATGAAATATTGGGTTTACGTATTCTCTAATGCAGAAGGTTCGGAGCGTTTTCAAAACATGGAGTTTTGAAGGCACTGCAATGAAACAAAAGATGTGTAAAGTCTTACAGTTCATTCTCTTTCTAAAGCAGCCACAGCATAGTAGAAGAGGTCTGTCCCCTGCCAGCATCTGCAGAGTGGGACCCTTGTTCTCTAAGTGGAAGCATTCGTCTGGCTGAGTGACTATGGCCAGCTTTAAGTACATCTGTCTGACAGGAGCTAGGCTATTGCAGAGGCTCAATCACCCTATTTTGCTGTCACAAGGAAATCAGAATCAGAAATAGATACAATCAATGTACACTGGAAACATTTATCACCTGGAGTTTATGATTCAATAAAATCCTGCACATTAATAAGAAATGCTAATCTATGTAGAACATTCCGATTCTTAAGAAGAGAAAGTTGTTTCACTGACAGCAATAAAACAGAAATAGGGCAACAAACACCACAATAAAGGAGACAATAGGATGCAGATAGATTGCTGACCACGAACAGAAAATTCTCCAGCAGACTTGGAGATGATATAGAAAAAGGGCACACCGACCTAGTGCATTATCGTTTAAAATAATTTATTGAAGAAACAAAATAGGTATCATACTCACAATGGACATAATAACACAGGCATGTCAAACTGAACAAGATCTATGATCCAAACAACATCTGAGTCCATACAATGGAACCCTGGATGACCAACTGGCTAACGCATTTCGAGGACACAACCTCTTCCTCAGAGCCACTCTGAGGAAGAGGTTGTGTCATTGAAACGCGTTAGCCAGTTGGTCATCCAGGGTTCCATCGTATGGACTCAGATGTTGTTTGGATCATACATCTTGTTCAGTTTGACATGACTTTGGGTAAGATGGAATATTCCATCAGGCCTTCTTTTCTCTGTGGATAGTACCGGGGTAAATAGGGCTGATTGGTACTATATCCTATTTAGTAATAAGTAGATCCCTACATACACTGAGTATGGCTTGTATGTCCATTTCAAATACAATGGCAAAAAAGGTCTGATAGCTCAAGGATTCCAATTGCTCAGATTTTGCATGTAAATTGTCAAAACTGTAAAATAATTCAACTCTCTATAATGGCCAAAATTAAGTGGAACTAAACTGTATTTGAGCAGCACAAACAGAAAACGCCATTCAAATCATTTTAATATCCAAAGCAAACTCACCCATCCATTCTTGTTTCCATGTTTTATTTTGTTGAGAAATCACTTATAAAAATACAGCATTTCTAGCCTCAGCCCGGGTTCACACTGATGCGGTGCGGAATTCGGAGAGTTTTCTGTGCGAATTCTGCACCGCATCAGAATTGCACCCAGTTCATGCGAACCGCTGCGAGGTGTGTATGTTAAGTTAACAACACCCCGAAATCGGTGCAATGTGCAGATTTGGATTCTAGTGTGGACCCAAAATAGGGTCCTGCACCTTTTTAGTGCGGATGCGGTGCGATTTGAGCCACACAATGTATGGCTCACATCTCACCGCACACAATTCACATGTGATTTGCACCAGAATGCGGTGTGGTTCCTGTGCGAATTACATGCAATGTACCGAACCGCATATATGTGAAAGCAAGCTCAGTCATCTTGAATAAGGGAATATGATTCATGTAGCATTTACTTCCTGGAATCCATCTGCCTTTACCTCAGGCATGAAGGCAGGTGGGTATGCTTTGCTGAGAAAGCCCCCCTCCTCCCCTCCACCAGATGAAAGGAAAAAAAAAGTCCATAAAGACTCCTGGGATGTATGGCATCATTTTGGCCTAGGCCAGAATCCAGGAAGAAACTGAAGAAATGTAAAAAAAAAAAAAAAAAAAAAGTTTAAAACAAGTAGATATAGTATACAGTACCTTCCTATCTATTTACTAATTCTAGCAGCATGAGGATTAAAAATAGTTAATGAGAGAGTTTAGATTCTGTGTTAATTAAAAATCTGATTACATGTTTTTTTTTTTAAATACAGCTAATGTATGTACCCGAATGTGTCTTGATATTCGCCTTCTGTAATCTCCTGCAGTGTACAGACTTGGGGAAGGTCAGCAGTCTGAGCCATTAGGGTCTCTCCGATTTTACATCATGCTATGAACATGCTAAGACAGGGGAGCACAAGTATACCCTAAATAGAGTGCTGCTGCTTCTTCATTTGTCTTTGGTGCAATCTCTGCAATGTTTGTAGCAGAAAATCAGACAAAAATAAAAGATAAAAATGAAGAGCTCATTAAATAATAAAATAAGAAGAGCAGCTTTAATTGTAATATTCATCTTCAATCCACAGCTGTCCCCCACTGTACTTCTTTTATTCCACAAGATGCTCTCAGTCTGATGACCAGCGACCTTTAACCCTCTTGCTCTGAGCCCAAACTATACTGGATCCTCTGTGACTGGACAGTGAAAGGAGAAGAAGCACAGTGATGAGATAATCTCTCTGTCACTCTGCTCTCTCCTCCTATCAGCATACTCCTTCTCAATACATGACCTGATTGGCTCCTTCTGCCTTGACAACAGTCAAAGATGACTTTTATCTTGCTATCTAATGTCATTACAACAGTCAAAGCTATTCATGCCCTAAAGCAGTGGTCTCCAATCTGCAGTTGGATATGGCCCTTTGCTTGCCTCTATCCGGCCCTTGGGGCACTTTTTCTCGCACTGATATGAGACATAATTGATCACACTGATACTAATAATGGGGCACTATTCCTCCCACTGACACCAATATTGGGGCACTATTCAATAATGGGGCACTGTTTCTCCCACTGATACGAGGCATTATTCCTCCCACTGACACCAATAATGGGGCACTTTTCCTCCACTTACACCAATATTAGGGCACTATTCCTTCCACTGGCACTGATGACTGGGCATTATTATACTGACACCAATGATGGCGTGCAATTTCTCCCACTACCAATGATAGGGTACTATTTCTCCCATTCACACCAACTTCAGGCCCCCCAGAAGGATAGTAAACTGGTCCTTTGCTTAGAAAGTTTGGGGACCCCTGCCCTAAAGGATAAGTTCACCTTTGTAAAAAAAAAATAATAAATGCACATCTTTTCGCAGGCAAAAAAAAAAAAAATGTGTATTTTAGTTTTTTTTTTAACTAGGAGCCTATAAAGCTTTGCAGATCATGGGTGCCATGCAGGACTCCTGCAGACCAGTATCTGTGTACTCATACCTCATACAAGCAGGCAGATATACACAGACAGGAAGGAAGAAGGAACTCAACACCTTCCAGCGCCATGGTAGTTCATTGAGAACTTCAAGCCGACAGTCGCAAGGGCTGTTAGGACTTGTAGTTTTTCATTCACAGAATTCTGTGAATGAATGACATGGTCGGGTGGGCGGAGCCACGCATGGTCACGTCTTTTTTGAATTGTGACAGCAGACACAGGGAGAAGATCCTTGGTCTGCTGTCAAAGAAAAGGTGTACTTATCCTTTAAACTGGCCATACATGGCTAAGTTTTTTTTTGTTCAGCCAGTGAACTTAACCAATTCCCCCATCCACACCTTTGAGGTGGATGCAGGAATCCTCCCAGCTAATAGATCAACTTCTGTTGAGCTGCAATTGCCACACATGGATCGAAATTTGGCCAAATTATATTAATTAATTACATAATAGGGTCCGGCATCCCTGCACTCTCCCACCAGTACCCACACTAAACTAACACATCTGTACCTTTCTAGGTTATGGGAGGACTCTGGAGCACCAAGAGGAATCCAATACAGGCACATTTAAATTATACAAATCCCATGCAGCAAGTTTCCTTGATAGAAATTGTACCCAGGACCCCAGTGCCCCAAGGCAAGAGTGCTAACTACTCCCCTACACTGCTGCTCAGCTGTCTAAAGAATTCACCCCTTATAGCTCATATAGAAATGTTTATACAGTCCTTTAAAGCCATGTAATAATATATTTGTGTACGTTTTTGAAATTAAAACAAAATAAAAAATGCATTAATAGACAGAAACTTTCAAGTGTTGTTTGCATATTTGGCAGGCACTGCCTACCCTATAGTAGAAATTTAATTTGTGTTTTAATATTTGTGCAGAGCTACTGAACCATGAAGTATGAACAATGGTGACATTCCCTAAGGAGTTTCAGCAATTTTTGATACTCTCCTGGAAACACTGTGCTCTGTAGATTCAATTTCGATCTTTCCCAAAAGCTTCCAATTGATTCCATTCAACATCTATTAATAATGAGCGAAAAGTTAAAGGTGGCTGTTTACAGAGGGAAATGTATGCAAATGGAGTAATTGTTCCTATGCGATGTACTCAGAAGTTGTTAACAGAAATTAACAAATGATTTTGAGCCTATTGTGATTTAAAGGGGATCAATTAATCTGATGGGGGAAAATGTTCGATGGAACTACAGCAATATACATATATATTACTTGCAGATTGTCTCATGCTTGATGGTCACTCTTCTTCCAAGAAAACCCTTGGCATTCCGTGAATGTGTG